AAAAAAAACATAGGGATCGCAATTTTTATTCAAAACTGAATGATCTGCAGATTTGATCTGAACAGATTGAATCAAATTTTAAATTTTTTGATTAGTTTGTATTTGAATTGGATACAGTTTTCAAATTTTGAAATCTGATCCGATCGGATTCTAAATTTTGAAACTAATTGGATTTCAAGTTTTAAAATTTAGCCAGGTTTAAATAAAATCCAGCATTTTAACTATATTTAAATAAAGCTATTTATAGTAATTAAAAAAATAAAATCTGGATTTTTTTTTTATATTTCTTTAATACTTTTATATATTTCTTTAAAATTTTGTGATATTTTTTATGATATTTTTCTTTCTGCAACATTACTAGTATTATTTATATCAAAAAATAAAATAGAATACAATAGTTCTTTCAATGATTCCAATAAAATAAACAATAAAAGTTTCAGTTTAAATAGTTATGAATTGAGTAATACTGCTACAAGTAGTAATAAAATAAATTATAAAAGTAAAGTGTAAAATCATTTTACAAAGGATTTCAATTTTAATAAAAGTAAAAAAGTTTTCTGCAATTATTACAGTATCAAATATACCTGTAGTGGAGGTAGTATCTCTAATCTTTTCAAACACCTAGAAAAAAACTATCTGATAAAAATAAATTCATATTCTGATAAATCTTTAATCAAAAAAATTTTTAATACTACAATAGTTAGTATAAATATATTTATTAAATTTAAAACCATACTAAAATTTATTTCATATATGATGAATACATAAACTTGAAAAAGTAAAACAAAATCTTATTTGATGAATTGTTATAAACCAATACTCTTTTATGATCATAGAGGAACTAGCATTCTATATATTTATTCAATCAATCTCATAAAAAACTAAAATACCAGTTACTGTATCAGTTAAAATATATATAATAAATCTATACTTGGCTGATCAAGAAAAATTTTAAAAATTTTGCAAGAAGTGGTGAACCATATTTTATTTATCCTTGATATTTAGACATCAACTTGATAAAGGTATTCCTAGTGATAACTACATACTGTATTTTATCAGCAAAAATTAAAAAATGCATAATATAACATTAGATTTTGTAAAAATCTGGGGCATGCATATAGATGAAAATACTAAAGAAAGTTTTGTATTGTGCTTAGAAAAATATATGGTACAAAAGAAAGTAAATTTATTTTACATTTAATATATTGCTCTTTTTTTTTTTTTTTTTAAACCCATGGTCAGACCAATACTGTATATTTATTAATTAATATGAAAACTGGTAGAGATATATAGGGCAATTGCATCATGCCTAAACTAAAAACTTGTACTGACACACTCGTCAATGACTTTCAATTCTCAAAAGAGCTTTAGCCTCTAAGTGCAACCTTGGGGACAATATTTCATTTTGAACTAAGTTTTGGGTGAATACCTTCCTAACTTACCCATTATTGCTAGCAGGTTATCACTGCTTATTATTCTCTAAGGAACTAAATATAAGAAACTACAAAAGGGAAAGGGGGAAAAAAAAAGGAAAGAAAATATCTAAAAATGCACAATTGTGCTTATATAAAAAAGAAAAAAGAAAATTAAAATACTCCATGTCCTCTAAAGGACCTCTACTAAACAAACCTCTTTTCATTAGGAATTAATCTTTCTGGAATATCCTTCTTCTTTCTAACTATCTGAGCAACTTATCTATTCATACTCTTGATTATTTTCTTATAACCATCTGAAATACTTATTGCCTACTTGGATCTAGTGTCTTGCTTATCACTTCCTTTCTTTTGGTATTGATTTTATATCCATTCGTGATAGCTAATGATTTATGATGGACCCCAGATTCCTATGTAACCCTTCAGCCTTATTGTATAACTACCAATATCTTCCAGCAGCTATGCCTAGTTAAAGGAATTTTACTGATGAGCATCTTCCATTGTCCAAAAAGTCGGATTCCACAATAATCTTTTTGCCTTACAATGGTGAGAGGGTAATGAATAATATGGAGATCCTTGTTGATTACGATATTATTATACAATGTCTGGAGAAATACATTCTCAATTCTAGAAAAGAGTAGTGGATCCCATTCTTCTGCTTTTTGGTCTTATTGCCTGACTGGGATAAGGAAATAATCTTCTTTGTGTATTTTGCCTAATCAGGATGATAAGAAGTTGAAGACCTCAGCTTGAACAAATAACTGCCTTTTTATCATTTAGGGAATTTAGTGCCCATCCTAATGGCTTCATGATTTCTTTGCTTCAGTTACACTTCATTTGAAGGAGTAAAGGATTCATATAGTATCAATAAATTCTCTTTCTTTCATCAATGATATCATTGGAACACATGGAATAATCAGTAGGAACTTGTTTACATTCTGCTACTAATGTGTTTCATATCCACTAATCATATTTTGCAATAGGTTGTGTCACCTAAAATTCAGGATCAAACTGAGGTAGGCAAAATTTTCTAAAAAACCAAAAAAATTTTTGGACGACTATAAGAGGGAAACTACAATGGGTAGACACTTTAAAATATGGCTTGATGTTCATCATCTTCCACTACAAAGAACTTCTATAAACATGCTTCAATATGAAAGACTTCAAGTACTATACTATTGGTTTTTCTTCTTTACAGAACTTTCTTGCTATTGGTAAAGAAGGTGTTTCTTGACTTTTCTAGGTCACAAGAAGCCAAGTTTTTGTTTGAAAATAAATATAAACAAGGAAAAAGGTATAGGAGTATCTTTTGAAGTGGGACTTCAAGTTGTTTTAAAAATAGTATTAAGACTTTATTAACAAAGAAATAAAAAATTTTTTGTGAACATCTTTTTTGTGTATAGGCAGAGGATCAGTGGAAAGAGTTTGTTTTTTTTTTTTAATTTATCAATTTATACAATAGATTATAAATAATTTATAGTAATAAACTATTAATAATAAATCTAGTAAATTTGAAATATATATAGTATCTATTTTTTAAGGAAATAAAATATTGTTATTTAAATCTGACTTAGATTATTTTAATATAATAATGAATTAGATATTATATAAATAATTTAAACTTTACAATAAAAATTAATTTCTATAATATAGTTATAGGTTAAAAATAAAAAAAATAAAAAAAAAACAAGATTCAGTTTCTATTGAATTCTATAGTATAAAAACTTAGGATTTATCGTAAGTTAATTTATATTTGTTACAAATAAATAAAAAATTATTATTTAAAGCAAGTTGAAATTGGATTTATTTTTGATATAAATATTTTTTAAAGTAATAATATTTCAAATAATATATGAAAAAGAAATAAAAATCAAGAATAAATAAATTTTTCAAATAGTCAAAAAGAGAAAAAATATTTTAATCAAATAAATCTTTTTAATTTATAACTATATTATATAGTTTAATTTTTATTAAGAAGTTTATAACTATTTTTAATATTACAAAAATTTTTATATAGTATAATAATTAATTTATTATTATATTAAAATACTTTAAGTCAGGTTTAGGAAACAATATTTCACTTTCTTAAAAAATTGATATACATATATATTTATCCTCTAAATTTATTGTCAACAATTTGTTATTATAGATTATTTATAAATTATAAATTATTGATTAAAGAGAAAATAAAAAAAAGGAACAATTTATAATTTTATTAAAAATTTTTAAAAAGAAAACAATTCTTTTCTTAAATGAAATTTATTTGATTGAAATAATTTTCTTGTTTCTATTGAGTTTTAGAAGAAATCTTTTTATTATTATCTATGATATTAAACAAATTAATTCAATTAATTCTTTATTTAAGTAAATATTAAATTAAGATATCTTTAAAGAAGTATCCAAATCTTGATTTTTATCTATTAAAGTTTTGTTATTATTTAAGAAACTTAGAGAAGAAATTGAAATTTACAATCTACATTATTTATTTCTTAGTCTTTTGATATTATAAATGTTTTCTTTAAAAGACTTGAGTTTTAAAAAATATATATTTTCAGAATATTCTTTTCAATTATCAATAATGTCATTAAGACATATAAGTATGATCAATTTGAGCTTGTTTATATTTCAAAAATTAATGTATTTTATGTCAATCAATCACTTTTAATGAAAATTTGTGTTACTCAAAACTTAAGATCAAATTGAATAGGTAAAATTTCTTAGAAAATCATAAAAGTAGAATTTTAAAAGGACTCAGACAATTAGAAAAGAAAAAATTAAGCCTTTTTATTGCAACAAAATCTCTATAATCTCTCACTACAAAAGTTTGAAAAGCTTTCAGGTACTTTATAGTTAGTTTTTTTTCCTTTAGAAACTTTCTTGCCATTGGTATCAAAAGTGTTACTTGACTTTTCTTAATCACTAAAAGTTAAGTTTTTAAGTGTAGTAATTTATAAACAAGAAAAAAAGAAGAATAATAATTTTTGAAGTTATACTTCAAATTGTTTTGATGAAAGTATTAAGACTTTATTAACAAGGAAGTAAAAAAACTTCTTGCAAACATTTTTTTTTGTATGTGATTAGAGAATTAATGTTTTTTTATTTTATTTTACTTTATTTTCTTGTAAATATATTTGTATATTTTTAAATATTTCCTCTCTCCTTATTCTTAACCTAACCCTTTTGTAACTTTATTTATTTCAATAACTTGCTAGAATAATTATCAGCGACAACCTATTAGCAATAATATGTAAACCAGGAGGGTTTTCATCCAAAGTCTATTATGGAATAGCAAATTGTTTTCAAGGTATTTGCTAATAATGAGTGAGTTAGATTTGATAGATAGTTTGGCTGTAATATGGACCATGCTGCTCGAATGAATATATACTTATGTATTCTTAATAAATACGATCTAGCTACGGCATCTACAGTGAAAGTCAAAAAGATTAAAAAATACATTTTAAATTACTGTATATAATCTTTTGATCAAGGATTATCGTAGTTTAATGATCATTCCAAAGTTATTTATCCCTTCTAATTAAAATCACCACAAGCTGTCATAAATTCTACATGCCAGATTCCACAGGTTCTTTTTTTTTTATTCGGATTTAAGTGGCGTCTTCTCGTAGAAAATATTCAACACTTTTGTCGATTTATTTGTTTAATAGTGCCTGTAACCACGGAAGCTTCATCTTCCACAGAAGTTAACTTGGTTGCAAACGATCAGTTAAGTGAAGAGCTAAAAAAACCAAGAAGAGTGTTGAAAACCCATCGAAAAAGCATTGACGAATCAAAAGATTCATCTTCAAAGCTTCTTTCATCCCTCGATGAAGAAGAATTTTCTATTACAACAGACAGCTTGAAGGTATATTTATTTAAGTAGTCGTTTTATGATTATCATCGATTGAACATATATTGCATACATACTAGGAGATGCTAAGTGTCCCGCAAAGAACTGAAATTGTGAAATTACAGAGTGATATGTGTGAGAATAGATCTATACAAGAGGTGGGTTATTATTTTCTGTTGGTTACATTTAAATAATTCCAATTCATCCAGTATTTTATAGACTGAAGGAATTGACCAAAAAAATGAAAACGAAAATAATGAGCCAGGTAGTATTTATTATGTCTAGCATTTATTTATTCTTCATTAATGGTTATTTTATTCAAAAAATTTTAGCACCGCCTTCCGAACACGAACCAACGTCAATACTTTACATTAGAAATTTCGTTCGTCCTTTGACACTTCAGATGGTTAGAGATCTTTTACAACAATTCGGAGAGGTTGATTTCTTTTGGATGGATAAAATTAAATCTCACTGCTATATAAGGGTATTTGGAGTTTCAAGATTCAT